CACACTTGCTGAATTCTATTATCACTGAATTCTGCACACTGCACACTACTAGATCACACTCGTCACACTGATTTCAGCGCTTGTTGTTGCTGAAAATTGTACTCGTTACACCACAAACCCTACTCCTACGGCTACTTGAAATCTCACCACTATATGATCACAACTCTTCCTTCGAATTACACAAAAAACAGCATAAACCTTAGCACGCTACTGTCTGAAACCCTAGCATATGATCTGAAACATACTTCCTAGTTGATCCACAATAGAAATCATGCATAGAAATCTCTTACCTTATCACTGAAGCAACAACCACACAAGAAGAAAATCAGTCCACACAAGACACACACTGCACCACACGAATCAGCCGTACATTGATTAGGGGAGGGCTTAGAAACCACAACAACCGACCACACAAGACACGACTGGAGGCATAGAAACCTCCAAGGGGAGAGGGCGATCACTCCTCTTCAGCCCTTTCTCTTATCTCCAGTTGAATGCAAGAAAACCAAGAGAAACCCTAGATTGGGTGCGCAGAGAATAGAAATCTAGGCAGATTCAAGTAGCTCTGATACAATGTTATAATTCGGCCTGCCTTGGAGTTCTATTTGTCTGAGATCAGTCACGTAGAAAGGTAGATGAGAGAGAGAGAGAAAAGGAGAAAAGTCTAGTTCGAACTAGAAGTCAAAACCTAACTCCCATTCGGCCAGATATGTGCTTTTATTATTAGAATAATGGAAAAGGCATATGTGCCCTTATTCAAGTAAGGAGCACTAGTTCTAACATAATATTACAGATCAGCAACCTTAATATAAGAATAAAGACAGAAATACCCCTACGCTAACAGAATTCTAGATAAAGTGGGATAGGTTGTGGCATGAAGTAATAGCTAGCGTACATGGTAAGTTGGGAAATGATTGAGATGTAGGAGTATCTAATAGGCTCTGTTAGGGAAATGGTTATGGAGGTTGGGTATTCTAGATAAAAAGGGATTTGTTGTGGCATGAAGTAATAGCTAGCATACATGGTAATTTAGGAAATGGTTGGGATGTAGGAGTATCTGATAGGGCTACTTTGGCTTCACTATGGAAAGCCATCCACCGCATTCCACCTCTTGTACTTTGTTTTGTCATGTACGACCTTTGCTTAGGGGTTTCTGTTAGGGAGGATACTTGAGTAATGGAAGGAACTTTTTTTTGTCTTAGATTCAGTTTCCTTGTATAAAAATGAGTGCGTGTCAATTTATGGTTCCTCCCTTACTCCCTACAGGTCTTAATTGGGATTTGGTTTCTGTAGAGGTCTAAGGGACAATGAAGTTTCATCTTGTTTGGATCCTCTACAAATCCTTCAAAATGTTCATTTAAATCCTGATATGCCCGATTAATGTATTTGGGCCCCCCACCCTAAGGGTTTGTTTTCTTGTGCTTCTTTGTTTAAGACTCTTTGTATCCCTTCAGGCCTTCCCTCTTTTCCCTGGTGCAGGCCCATTTCACCCAAAGTAGTTCATGGGAGGATTAATACTATAGATGTGTTACAAAAAAGTAGGCCCAATTCTTGTCTCTCTCCTAACTGGTGTGTCTTGTTTAAAATCCAATAATGAGAGTTGCTATGACTTATTGATTTGTTGTCCTTTGGTTTTTCTTTCTTTTTGGGTGCAGGTGGACTTTACCATCATAGGTTAATATGCTATTTGGAGATGTGTTCTTTTGCTGCCAATATTTGGAACTGGGTTGTTTCACTATTTGGGTGCAGGTGGAACTTGCCCTTCGAAGTAAAGCTGCTGTTCATTCCGGCTGCCTTTGGGAGATTGACAAAAAGAGGGATGCTAATGTGGAAATGTATCAGAGCTGCTACCTTGTGGACTCTATGGGAGGAGAGAAATGCTAGAATATTTCAAGAAATGGAAAGAAGTCTTGCTAAAATTAAGGAATGCATAATGACAAGGACAGTCTCGTGGCTGAAATCTTCACACTTGTTGGCAGATTACTCCTTTGATGACTTAAGGAGAAATTGGGCAGCAGTGGCTTCTACAGTCTCCACAAAGAACAAATCACAAGCTGAATGGGAATCTCCACCGGATGGAGTGGTAAAACTGAATTTTGATGGTAGCTGCTGAGGTAACCCAGGGCCATCTGGAATAGGAGGGATTCTGAAAGACAAAGATAGCAACATGTTGTCTTTATTTTCAGGACCAGTGGGTGTTGGTGATTCTGTAAGGGCAGAGATACTAGCAGCGGTACAAGGTATACAGATGGCCAGTCAACTTGGAGTGAATRATTTGATAGTAGAAGGGGATTCCAAGGTAGTAGTAGGCTGGTTGACAAGTCCAGAGACAGCTTGTTGGGGCTACAGGAATCTGTTAAAGAAAGTTAAATGGCTGACAAGGAATATGTCAGTCAGGTTTCAGTGGGTCAGCAGATCAGCAAACGCAATGGCTGATTCTTTGGCCTAGCAAGGGTTGTCAAGGGGAGATCTGTTTTGGGCCACTTTGTAACTGTGYTTCAGGCTTGTGTTTGTTTAGTGTTTATGACTCAGTCCTAGGGGGAGGTAACACCTTGTGCCTCTTCCTAGGCTGAATGTACTGCTATTTTTTGAATTAATAAAACTACTCTCATTTATCAAAAGAAAAAATAATGTGGAGATGTGTTAGACCAGCCTTGGTGTGCACCATTTGGGAAGAGAGGAATGGTAGAATTTTCTCATAAAAGGAGAATAGAAAAGAAGTTATTAGGGCTTGTGTAATGATCAGGGTGATCCATTGGATAAAGACTTTGGAGTTGTTCTCCCAGTTTTCCTGTGGTGATGTTTGGAGAAATTGGGAAGCAGTCGCCAAAAGCTCTTCAAGAAAGTAAAGTGTGGAGATGCATTGGTTACCTCCAACTGAAGGTTATGCAAAACTGAATTTTGATGGGAGTAGTCAAGGTAATCCATGTTCCTCTGGAATAGGAGGGGTATTGAGAGATTCATAAGGTAAACTGCTAACTTTGTTTTCTGGCCCCGTGGGTATGGGTGACTCTTTCAAAGCAGAACTGTTTGCAGCAATACAAGGAGTGCAGATCTCCAATGAGTTACACATAGTAGATGTGGTGTGATTGAAAGGGATTCAAAGTGGTGGCGGGGTGGTTAAAGGATCTAGACTCCATAATCCGGTGCTACTGAAATGAAGTGAAAAAGTTTAAATGGCTTATCAGGAATGTGAACCTTAGGATACAATGGGTGAGGAGATCCGCAAATGGGATGGTGGATGCTTTGGCTATGCAAGGGGTGCATAGGAATCATTTGTTCTGGGATCAAATGTAACCTTTTTTTCTGGTTTATAGAGAGGTAGCATCTCGTGTCTAAGGGATGCTTGTAAAGCTTTATACTACCAGATAAAGCTAGTTACTGGCATTAAAACACACACACACACACACACACACAGGGGACTAGTTCTGTACAAGTTATAGGTTCTAGTGAAGAGGAAGCCAAAGACTGGTAGTTGAGATGGTTGATTAACATCGCTCCCATAGTGGAGACATGTGATCAAGCTTGCAGAACTGCAGGTTCTCTGTGGTATGGGCAGTGGGCCTCACATACCCCCTGTTCTATCTCCACATATGTTCCTACTAACCTCTGATTAGTTAACCACTTAACCCAACTATTTTGAGAATATGTTATTCTTTAGCTTTAAATTTATTGTTATCCACGGATCTAGCTTTCTTTTCATTTATTGTTATTTTTTCATCATTCATAATTTTATGCTGCCCTTGACTGTTGTTTGCAGGCGGATGTATTTCTGGCACCCCAGATTCATGCTGCAATCACTCGGTTTAAACTTGACATGGTAGTGCCTCCTACATAATTTGATCTGTTGATTGGTTTCTGTAGGCATAGGAATATTTATTTTGTTATTATATCACTTGGTTTAATTTAGGATCCTACTTTAGACTAAAATATTTCTTGCCTTTAATTCTTAATGTTTTTCTTTTTGCAAAAGAAACTTTAGGTGGATGAATAGGATACGATGTTTTTATCAGTTACATGCAACTTTTTCAACAAACTGCTGTATCAATACTAATCAAATGATTATACATTGTGTGAAACAAAGTAGCTGAAGTTTCTTCTAGTTTTGTTGATTAAACTGTCCAGAAATTAGCAGTTAGAAGCAGCCACTACAAGATGCCTGGGATATAGTGAAGCTCCTAGAGCGTCTCACACACATAATGGTTTAGTGATGATCTTAAAAGTGTACAGAGTAGGAGCTTTGTTTTATGGCTTTATTATAGCCCTGTTTTATTATTCTTCTTTCTTTTCAGCCCTGAAAAAACATTATTGTTATTGCACACAGTTTAATATATTTGATGGCTCCTTGGGGGTGGGGGTTGATTCATTCTATTGACACCCCTTACTTGTCTTTCTCTTCTCTCATGTTTTCTCTCTTCCCATCCTAGCTCAACTGGACTGTCATGGTATCAGAGAAGTCCCTAGACTGGTTCAATAGGGCTGAAGACTAGTGACTCTCCACTGCTAGAGATTGAAACTACTGGTGCAAGACTTTGATTGGAGATATTCAAACTTATATGACATTTTTTCTGGAATTTTTTTATTCTGTTTAAGGGATTTATCATTGATCTCAGTTTTGGAGTTCTCAAGAAATTAAATTGCCTCTTCTTAGTCAGTGTTGTTGATTTCCCTCCCCCCTTCTCTGTTTGACTTGAAACTTCAGATAAGGTGTCGCCCTAAACACCTAAATCAGACTCATATGTCTGATTTTGATTCTGGTCTGTTTTGAACTTCCTTAAACCCCATTTCTGTTGCTATTTGGGACGCCATACACTGATTTTCTGTGAATACAGTTCTTATTTCTCAATCAGACCTTTTTTTGGGCTTGTTTCTCTTGAAATGACTCCTCATAAAGTGTACATCATCACTGTTAAACATAATTGAATTAACTATAGAATGTGGAAATTTCATTTTGATATTTATGTTGAAGCAAAAGGGCTGGAAGGCTACTTTAATGGTTTGGTTACTAAACCTGATGAAAGCGATGCTAAAGCTTATTAGCAATGGAGGTTGGGCAATGCAAAACTGGTTAACCTGGATTCTTAGCATGATTGAACCTAATGTTGCTGTACCCATGAGGAGGATGCTCATGGAGATTTTTGAATTTTGTACATATCAATTCTTCTAATTTGGCGGAATGTGTCAAATATCTATAGAAGCTTTTTGAGAAGTGGAAGATGAATTCAGTTACTTTTGATACTCAGACCAGAATATGAAATCATCAGATCCAATATTTTGAGCAGAGGAGTTCTCCTTGTTTTAGATTTGGTGTTTGGTGAGCTTCCAAGAGAAGTGACAACGCTTCTAATCGTGACTGGATTTGAAGGGAAATCATTTGAAACTGGTGTTGATACTGCTTTTGTTGTTAACAGAGAGAAGAAATTAGGCCCTAGAAATCTGTCTACAGTTAAATGCTATGAATGTAAGGAGTTTGGTCATGTGGTGTCCCATTGTAAAAAGAAGAATGCTTGCAGTTATTACAAACAATATGAACATATTATTTCCTGATTGTCCTATCCGTCCAACATAGGGGGCTTAAAAGAAAACCCAACCTCATGCTTATCAGGCCATTGAGGGCTACCCAGTCTAATAAGATTACTTCTACTAAAGGTGATTCCTTGACTTCCTTAGATGAAGAGAAAATTCGCAAAATGGTATCTTCTGATCTCTTCCTCATTCTCTAATCTCTACTATTGGCCTATTTGGTAAGTCTTCTAGTTATTTGGATTATAGATTCTAGTGCCTCTAATCATATAATAGGGGCATATTCTAGTCAACTTGGTAATTTGCTTGTACCTCACCATAACTGCAAACCTTATTTTTGTTGGTCAATTGATTGACAAGGGTAACATCGTTTTTTCTTTTTCTTTTTTTTTTTTTCTCGTGATGGTTGTTTGATTCGGGAACTACAAATTAAGAAGGTGAAGGGGAAAAGGCATAGGCAAGGCTGATTGTTTGCGTTGGAATTCAAGAAGTTTCCTACTCCAGCATCTGCATCTCCTATTTATTTTACTTCTTTTGAGTCTGTCTTTTTTGGTCATATAAACAATACTTGGGATTTATGGCATAAACACGTGGGTCATCCCAATTCTGAAAGATTGAAATTGTTATTTGATATTGGTTTGATTAAGAATAAAATTTCCTTTTTTCAATCTTTTGGTAATTCGTGTGCTACTTGTTATTTAAATAAAAGTCGTGCTCTACCTTTTTCTTGTTTTGTTGAGCACACTACCTCTCCCTTTGAGATTACACATAGTGATGTCTCAACTTCACTTGTTATTTCACAATTATGAAATGAATACTTTGTCATTTATTGATGATTGCAGCAGGTATACTTGGATGTACTTCCTATGTTGGAAAATTGGAAGTATTTGCTACCTTCAAGTTGTTTGAAGCTATGGTTTGTACTCAGCTCAGATGTAAATCTAACCTGTAATAATCTGAAGTGAAGTAGAAAAGAAGGGGAAGATGGAAGAAAATGGAAGAGAGAAACTATAGAGGAAGTAGATGGAAGAAGCGAAAGAAAGGAAGAGAGTCTATCAAACCTCTCCAGTCCCCCACTATTGTATATTATTCTTTGATTGTAAAAGGAATACAATTACATGAATACCCGTAGTAGGGCAGCTAATGCTAAAAACAAAAATAAAAGAAATAAAACATGTCTAGAAATAAGACCCACTAATCACAGATATAAAGCATAAACATAAATAAATAAATAATAAGAAACTATGGGTCATTCAGTCCACCTTAAGCTGAGCATAGATATCAATCATGCCTTGCTTTCTTACATAATGTTTTAACTTTGCCTTGGGGACATCCTTGCTCAAAACATGTGCTAGATGTTACTTAAAGGCAATGAAAGGAAGGTAAAATTCTTCGGAAGCCACTCTCTCTTATAAAATGCCAGTTTACTTCAATGTGTTTTGTCCTATAATGCTGAATAGAGTTGTGAGCTATGTTAATTGTAGCCTAGTTGTTAGAGTACAACATTAAGGGCTTATCATATACAATACCCATCTCCTCTAGAAGTGAGCTGAGCCATAACAACTCTGAAACTCCATTGTCCATGGCCCTATACTCTGCCTCAGTTGAAGATCTAGCTACTCTAGACTACTACTTATTTCTCCAAGAAACAATGTTCCTTGCTACTAGAGTATAGTAACCAGTTGTAGATATTCTACCATCAATACTACTAGCCTAATCGACATCTGTATAAGCGTCTAGCTTCATGTATCCATACCTAGAGAAGAGAGTACCCTTTCTTGGAGTTTCCTTCAAGTAACACAAACCCATCCTCAACAACCATATGTGTGTTTTTGGGGCATGCAATAGGTGTAGAGGTAGGATTGGCACCAAGCTTCCTAGTCTTTGAAGTGGTCTCTATTAGACAATGTGATGTAGAACGGAAGGGGGTCCTACTAATTTAGGATCTGGTGGTGGGCTTTGTGGGGTGAATGAGGAGCTGTGGGTGATTGGAGATGAGAATATGGATGGAAAAGCAAGTAGAGTTCTTGTTGTGCACCAAATAATGAGTAAGAAATTGGAAAAGAGAGGTGAACTCTTGCTGTTAGGATAAACAACATAGAGATAGAATGCCTAGAAGAAGAAATAAGAGAGATGGGGGGTGGGGGTGTGGAGAGAGAAATTTCTAGCAACAACCAGAATTCACTAAACCAAACTTTATTTCTTCAAATTAACTCTTCTTTACTCCAATTGCAATGAATCTATTTATGGACTCAACTCACTAATGCAGATGTCCCTTTACAGACTCCAATTTGGACTAGGAAACTGATCCTAAACACTTCTAATTGCTTTAAAGATAAATCCATAAGTAATCCGTTAGGACACTTAAATAAGGACTCCAACTCCTAAACAACACTAATACACTTTCCTAATCCCACTGAAACTAAGTAGGTTTGATGTTAGAGTCAATTAGAGAAGGGTATTTTGGTCTTTTCCCTTTATTTATTGTGTTGGTTGTATGTAGGGGTGAACAAAAAACTGAAAAACCAAACCGAAAAATCGGTTAACAGAACCGGTCGGTTTGGTTTCGGTTCAATATTCTTAAAAAACTGACAGTTTCAGTTCAGTTTCGGTTTACCATTTAAAAAAACCGGCTGTTAACCAAACCAACCGATATATGTGTATATAATAATATATATTTATATTATATTTTTTATTTTCAAAAAGGTTCGGCAGTCTGAGAGACTTTCAATTTCAGCCTCTCTTTGAACCAATTGAAAGTTCGGCAGAGTGCCAGAGTGCCTGTCTCACTCTCTTCGAAACTCTACTAGTCTGCCACTACCAGACTCTCTTTGAAACTCGGAACAACTCAAGCCTTTTTGTCTCTTTGAAGTTTGAAATTTGAAACCAAACCTTCTCAGCTTCTCCCACTCTCTGTCTTTTCTCTTGTCTCTCTAGTCTCTCTGTTCTCTTCTCAGTTTTCCGCACAGCCCGTGTCAACCACCAGCACCAAGCGGCAACGCCGGTTGTCGCCTCGCTGGCAAGCAAGCACCAACACCATTCAGTGTTGGTAGTTTTGAAGCATCTGTTGACTGCCGGTGGGTGGTGGTTTTGAAGCATCTGGGATCCTTCTCTCTCTCACCTCTCCTCTCTACAGCTCCGCTAGCAACCACCAGCACCAACCAGTCCGGCACCAACAGAAACCACCAACAGTTTTAGGGTTTTTTATATTTTAAGTGCATAAGAAAACTGAAAAACCAAACCGCGGTTAACCGGTCCACCGGTTAACTGATTGCATCGGTTCGGTTTCGGTTTGGA